GCAAGAGGGATTGGAATATATCAAAGTTATGGTATGGAAAATGCAGATAATTCAATTCTCTATCAATCCATAATTTTACAGATTTTTGCTAACTTGCAGCACCGGGAGGAAATGGCGATTTTATTGTAACATTATTACAAGTCTCAGCGTAAATTTAATTAGTACGCTTAATAGATCTTAAAGAATAAACAAGGTCTACGTTTCAATTTTTCAAATATCTCACCAAATAACTGTTCTAGAGCATCTCAAAGATTGTATTTTACCATTGATTCAGGCTATTGCTTTGAGAGTCCGAAACGACCGTTGGAACTTAAACTTAAAAATCTCACACACACAAAATTTTGAGCATAAAAACTGGTATGACTATAAAATTCAAAAATTCAATTTATGAGTAGTGGTCAGTAGTGGTCAACAATGGTCTGGTCTTCGTTTCAATTTTTAAAATATCTCACCAAATAACTGTTCTAGAGCATCTCAAAGATGGTATTTTACCATTGATTGTGGCTATAGAAAAATATTTTGGATTTATTACTTGTAGGAGTATTTGTCTATGGCAGGAATCAATGGTAAAATACCATCTTTGAGATGCTCTAGAACAGTTATTTGGTGAGATATTTTAAAAATTGAAACGAAGACCTTGTTTATTTTTTAAGATCTATGAAACGTACTAATTAAATTTACCCTGAGACTTGTAATATTGTTACAATAAAACGTCATTGTAACAGCCCTTTACAGTAACATATCTGTGTCTTCCGGAAAAGGAAGACCTTTAAAAAACGAAAAAAGTATATTTTTAAATTATTTTTATTTGATCTAGTTTACAAATTAATTCCAGTGCGAGTACTTTGTGGACAACTCATTATTATTCAATCCATTTATACAGTATATACTCTATTATAACATTAAATTATACAAAATCCTTAACGCATACGACATCTCAGGTATACATCGGGTGTCGGGATGTCATCAAAGGAGAGACGGCTGTCAAAGACATTGTGGCACTGAATCCAAAGGCAGACATAAAACTATTAAAACTTGATTTGTCTTCACTTCAATCGGTCCGCCATTTCGCCAAAGAGTTGTCTCAATTGGAGTTCAAAGTGGATATCCTTATCAATAACGTTGGCGTTTTTGGTTGTCCTGAGGGGCAGACTATCGATGGCTTTGAGATGCACTTCGGGACCAATTATTTGGGTATTTATGAGGTAATCCTTGCGATGAAATTATTACTAAAATAATTAAATTTAATATATTTTGAGGACATTTTGCACTAACAATGCATTTATTGCCACAATTGAGACAATCATCAAATGCCCGGATTGTGAACGTATCATCTGGTTTACATGTGCTTGGTCATATTCATTTCTCAAACATACACCTAAATAACGGTGATTATGACCCACTGGTAGCCTACTGTCAGAGCAAACTCGCAATCATTTTGTTTACCCGTGAATTAGCCACAAGACTGACCAACACTCGTATAAACACTTATAGTCTGAATACCGGTGCCGTCAGCACTGACTTACAAAAACATTCATATTCTTTGGTCGAAAGGGTTTTAAAGAGATATTGTGTTCTAAACCCATTCATGGGATCCCAGACCACACTCTACTGTGTATTGGATGACAGTCTGGACAATGAGTCCGGCTTTTACTACGAGTAATATATTACTATGTTTTCAAGTTATGACAATAAATAGATAACAAATTGTAAAAAGTTAAATTATAATTATATTATTTTTGTAGCAATTGCCGCCGCGTTAAGAATATGGTGAGTGAGGCCAGGGATGACACGACTTCCAGGAAACTATGGCAATTAAGCACCCACCTCACTAATTGTCATGAATACCTACAGTAAATACGGTATTTACATCCGGATAATTTGCAACAAATAAAAACTACATTAGTTAATCAATAATTATTAGGTTTTCAATACAATTAGTTTATTTAATGTTACCAGAACAATTATAACACCACAGAGCTGTCAAATACAAATTAGTGAACACAAAGTAAGTTATCATTAATAGTCTATCAGTGGATACCTATCGATCTAACAATCACTCAGATATTGCTAACAGTTTTATATTAAGTTTGAAAACATTCATGTCTTATAGTTATAATTTCTGAGTCTAGTTTTAATTTACCAACCAAATCGACCTGGATTGTTTGCTAGTAATTAATCAATTTAATTAAAGGGTAACGAATGCCTATGAGTTCATAGTTGCTAAGTATGGGTTAAGCCTTAACCTTATTAAGGTTATGGTTAGGGGTAAATATGGTTTATACTTATCGGTTTATGCTTAATATTTATAATTAAAAGTATGGCGGACTTTAATTTAAAAATTCTTTGCATCTCACTTTAAAATTAATATTATAAATTAAGTGATGTAACAAAATGTATACCACAATGATTATAAAAAGTGATCGACAAACGCAACTTACAATTAGTAGTAAATTATATAATGTTTTATTTCGCGAGATATTTGTTCCCTTAATTCTAATGATAACAACATTATCATTATAATCCTTATTGTTTACAATTATAAAAGTGTAAAATTTTCTATTTAACCTTAAATTCTAAAATTAAAAAATTAAATTTAACGTTTATAAAAAATTCCTGAAATAGGTACTCGCTCATTTTAAATTCTTTTCAAATCCAGTTATCAGATTAATTTTAACTTGTATAGTTTTTTTGTACAAACAAAGAATATTTATTCCCTTAAACGTAGTGTTGAGACAATGTCTTCGGGAGAATAATCAGGATCAAATTCTACAAACACGCCTTAAATAGATTAATTTTATCATTGTTAGTTTAGGAATAAATGAAGCTCATAAACACTAGTATTGTATTATGCATTTTCAATAACCAAATATAATATATTTCAATGTAAAAAACTCTTGAAACTTAAATGGCGCAGTTACCATGGTAGATTTTTATACAATATAAAATATATTTACCAACCGGGAAGTTGGGGCTATAAATCCGTGAAGAGAGGATGAGGATTGGATTACCCGTTTTGGTGTAATAAATTCTAATACGATAAAAACGGGAACTGGCAAATTGACCTAAAAACCAATTGACCTAAACTTAAATAACTTAATGACCAATAGACTTTTGACTATTGTAAGGATAGGTAAGGTTAGGTCAAGGGGAACATTTTACACTGGTCATCTGGTATATTTACCTACTGGTCATTAAGTTATTTAAGTTTAGGTCAATTGGTGTTTAGGTCAATAGAGCCGCACCCGATATAAACAGTTAGTTTTTCGAGTGTATACCTACGCTCGGCATAGAACAATTATTTAAGACTCTAATGGCCAGTTTTTATTCTAAATGAGTGCTTTTCTGAACCGGTAACATTATTTCTATGTAGAGTTAAAATTAATATTCAATTAAATTACAAACTGGCCATTAGCGACTTAAATAATATTTTTACGCCAAAATTTCCAATATAGAAGTTATAGCTTATACTTTGACAGATTTTAAAGCAATTATTGGTCAACTTAAATTAGGTCCTAGTAGTCTGGCCAGCTTTAACGGTTATAAATAATGCATATCAAATAGTTTTCTATTTGATATAAAAAAGGCATTAAAAATAATTCATTATTTTATTATATTTATTTTTAAGATTATTATAATCGATGAAAACCTATTACCAATTATAATATTAGCATTGATATACATTGTAATAGCTATTATAATGTTTCATTAGACTTTATTTAAAAGTATAAGATTAAAAAGCAAATTTTTTTATTTGCCCATAAAATGGTTAAATATATTATATAACATACATTAACAAAGTTTTTGATCTACAACAATTACTCCTGTTATAAGTATTACTACCTGGGCTCTGTAGCCCATGAATGTTAATCTATGTTATATAATATAAATTTTTTTAAAAGTTAGATTAAATTAAATGTTATTAGTAATAACTGATTACAATCTGTATTTTGTATATTTTACTCTTTAATACACTTTATATAAATTTATATTTCTATTTAGAAATATGCAATTGTTGGCAGACATCGATACCGAGAGTGAAATTATTTTTAAAATAAATATTTTATTTGTAGAATATAACACAATTATTATAATTATATATGATTATTATAAAATTTTACAGGTGATTTATTTTGCTTATCATTAATAATTAATATTTATTTCATATTATCTAAAAATTAAATCAAACTTTCCTTTGTGGATGCGAACAAACATTGAAAATATTTGCATGATAATCTGAAAAATTAATTATTGACAACAATCGGCATTGACAATATTAATTTAAAAGTTATTTAAATATGGACATTTTATAAGGAGAGTGAATTGAAACTGTGTATTAAAGGTATTAAATAATATAATTTATTCTTACATATAACGAGCTATTGTTGTTTAGCACAAACATATTTCCCAGTGAAAACCCAAGTTTGCCTGATGAGAATGTTTCCAAACAAACTAAAATCTTAATATTGTAAATAATATTTGACAAATCTGGTTCAATATATTGGATGAGTCCTGACTAATATAGGCTTATCTTTCGCTTCTTACAAGCATTTTTGTTTACGACTAAATATTAATATCTTTTTAACTTAAACTCATAGACTTTATACACTAAAGATTTTGATATTTAGTCGTAAACAAAAATGCTTGTAAGAAGCGAAAGATAAGCCTATATTAGTCAGGACTCATCCGATATATTGAACCAAAAATATTGAATAAATTTAACAAATTATTAAAGATATTTAAGAAAACAATACAAATATTTCAACTTTGCTTTAATGACACTTAGAAACAGTACAAATAAGAGTTAATATACAGTATTTGTATCGTTTTTTAGTCAAATATATTACATTTACTATATATACAGTATATCTTACCTCATATTTTGTGGTTAAAGGGAGTTTATCTTGTTTATGTAAATAATAATTTAATAGGGGTTTACGTATTGAATATATAGCTTGATATGATAAATTTGTGAAATAATTAATTGTAAAAAGTGTCAAGAATGTAATTAACAGTGCAAATATAATGGGTTTGATTGTAACATTTTCATCATAATATAAGTATAATAATATAGCGTCAAATGCCCCAAATACAAACCATATAGATAATAAATACCAGCGCCAATATGCGTAATTATATTTTATTATTTCATTGTGAAAATAATTTAATTGCTTAATTATATCATTTATATGAAATTCAGTTCCTTTATTATTATACCTTGATGATGAGTTGGTTAATAATAATAAACAATGCTTAATAAAGTCCGATTTATATACAAAATACATATTTGTTATTATAAAGTATCCTGCTTGCTTTAATATAATTTTAGCATTTATATGAATATAATAAGTAATGATAAACGTAACAATTAAACCAATTAAAAAATATATACCAGAACAATTTGTAGGAATTAATATAACTATGTGTAGACATACCGTATTTATGATGGATATACCTAAGCTCATAAGTATTGATTTTGTAATAATTTTGTAAAGTTTTTTCAATTTACGGATTATATTTTTATCGTAAATATGTAAATTATTTGGATCAATATTACCATCAAGCACCATAAATATATTTAAATCCATTGGGTATTTCTCAATACGACTTCGCAATGCTAAACATCCCTCATTAGCCAGACCAACAAAAAACTCCAATAGTTTACATCCGTTTGCCGTGTGGTAAAAATGATCAAGATCCCCAAAAACAATATCATATTCCACGGTATTTGTGACTCCTAATCTGTCATATGCAATCTTAATTAAATTCCTGATATTAACTACAATAAGTAAAAACGTGAAGTGTATTAAATTTGTGGACAGTGGCCACTTTTTTAGTTTGGGCGATAATAACCCGGCACAGTTTAAATCGTCAACTATGCCGTGTAAAGATGTGTGTGACTGTCGATTATCCAGGTTATTGTTTGCATGCTTATTTGCTCGTGACATATACGTTGGATTGTGGATTAATTACATAATTATAAATAATATTATAATTGCTGACAATATAATTGTTAATGTTAGTGATACAAACATTCAGGCAAGTTACTAATACTTGCACCCTGGTGCCAATGCCTTTGGGACTGTCGGTTGTATTGGATGCTGTGATAGTTTCCGGGACCACCCGGTTGTTGTTGAGGACTATAGGAGGTGTCATATTAGGGAGGAAAGTCGTGTATTTGCTACACACTTATTATTTATAACAAATAAATTAATTTTTACAACAAATTAAACTCAAAATTATTTTTAACTTAAAACCTATTAAAAGCAGTTACACTCCAATAAATAATGGATATTAAATATTATCTAATTGTTACTCAAATGTACATTATATTATTGATTTTAAGTCTAATGGGAAAAATATTTTTATATATTTTCAAATTATGTAGTAAAACAAACAATTGTAATTTGAATTTGAATTTAAATTTTTTGCTGTTTTAAGAGGTCGTGCACTCAACTAAAGTAGATATTCATATGTAATATTAATAATGTTTAATTATCTAAAATATTGATTTTTGGAAAATTCTAAACTGCTTTTATATCGTTAGTTAAAATAATTTATTTTATCATAATATTAAAAATATTTTTAAATTTAAATTTATTCATATTTATTGACTTAGGTAGGTAGGCATAATTCAAAAACAATTAAATACTTGATCATTAAATTCTGAGATGTCTCGAGTTTCACTAAATCCTCGGTCACGGGCATAGTCGACGACAAGTTTATTACCCGGGTAGCACCCGACCCGTTTATTTGGGGCAGTAATAGTAGTGTTAACAGAAAGTGACCTAAAATTGGATTAAAAGTAACTTTTATTCATTAAAATCCTTTATTGTTTAATAGTCATACATCAAATCTTTTGAAAATAATTACCAAGATGTTTGGTCGCGAACTGCATCTCAAAGCCGTCCTCAGTCTGCCATTTAGGACACGCCATAACCCCTGCGTTATTGATAAGGATATCCACTTTGGACTCCAATTGAGACAACTCTTTGGCGAAATGGCGGACCGATTGAAGTGAAGACAAATCAAGTTTTAATAGTTTTATGTCTGCCTTTGGATTCATTGATTGTATCTCTTTGACAGCCGTCTCTCCTTTCTTCACATCCCGACACCCGATGTATACCTGATATTCAAATATTAAATTTATACAAAAGTTGATAAAATTCTAAACCAGATAAACCTTTGCCCCCTAAATGTCAGTTGGTATGCTTTTCAGTCATTATTTAAATACTTATAAAGTTATATAACTCTTAGTCTCTCATAAGTTTTGAGTCATAAATGACAAGTGAGAGTCACTTCCGTACGAGACTTATCCGGATTATGTTTTAAATAAAATATATTTTACAAGTAGAGAATAAACATATTTTTTATTACCGCAATACTTATTAATATAATGATACAGAATATGATCAGAAATTGTTTTAAAAGTACTTTTTACAAAACATTAGTTCATATTTTTAATGAGCAAATAAATAAAACCCAAAATATGACACAAACTATAGAATTAGGAAAAAGTTAAAGAAAAACATAAATCTATTCAATGGATAGCCCAACCAGAAGAATACCCGTCCCATTATGAACGTTATGTTTAGCACTGGTATTAGATTCACCAGAATTTTAGGCTCAATATATATGACACCAATTAATTGACTGACGAATAGTAGGAAGAACTGCTCGAAACTGTTTTGCAGAATATTCTTGGCTTTGAGGGTCAGGTGCTCGTAGTTAGCCGTGGGATCCATAGCCGTGGCTCAATATATATGACACCAATTAATTGACTGACGAATAGTAGGAAGAACTGCTCGAAACTGTTTTGCAGAATATTCTTGGCTTTGAGGGTCAGGTGCTCGTAGTTAGCCGTGGGATCCATAGCCGGTGTGAAGGATCGGCTCCGCATAACATTCAATACACATATCATAAGCCATACGACACCGGGTATGGAGTTGTGGAGCACGTACTTGACTCGTGGCTCAAATTGATCTAGCTTATCGCTTGCTACGCCATAATATTTACCAAGATTGAAATTATTATTGAACACGGCGTATATAATGAGTGAATCAATTATAGCAATAATACCAGAATATATAGTGACCCTGATCACCCAATTCCTAGCATATTGTTTTTGTGGTTCAGTAAATTCAGTAATTTTTTATGAGTTATTTGTTTTTTAATTAAGTTTGAAAATTCATTCAATAAGGTTTGCGATTTATTATTTAATTAAAACCTATTAAATATAAGCTTACTTGTTAAACAAATTATAACAATTTTGATCCAAACTTAGTGAATATAATATAATATAAAACTTTTATAAACATACATAAATTATGATACAGTTATGTGTAATTTAAAAATGAATCTATTAATAAAATTCTGCTAAATAAATAGTTAGGTTGAATAGTATTGTAGGTATCAGGTATGTTATCAAACACAATGTAATGAAGGTCGTTTTAAGTACATCAAGAGCTGATTTCAATATACATTAATAGGTAAGACAATGTTTAACTGTAAATATAAGTATTTAATATCATTTTAAAAATTAATTACTAATAAATTACTTTGATAATTGTTAATATAGATTTAAAATACTTATAAAATTGTAAATTTTATGTAACTGAAATAATCTAGTGGAAAACATATAAATAAACTTTTAAATATTTGCAATAAACATTCAATTTGTGGAAAGGTTTGACTTTTTTAAATCCTGAGCTGATCCTCGAGTTTCACTAAATCACAGCTCAATTCCCATAGTTTTCTGGCAGTCGTGTCATCCCTGGCCTCGAGTACCAAATTATCGTCTCGACGACAGTTGCTGTCAATAAAAACAAACTTTAATCATTAAAATAATGTTTTAAATACAAAAATTTGTAAAATATGTCAATTTTACAACAAAATAATTAATGCCAACTCACTCGTAGTAAAAACCGGATTCATTGTCCAGACTCTCATCCAATGCACAGTAGAGTGTGGTCTGGGATCCCATGAATGGATTCAGAAAGAAGTGCCTCTTAAACCAACTGTCCTCTGCTTGTCCTGTATGTCTCTGTAGGTCTGTAC